GTGAGGAGTGAGAAGATGGGTATAGGCTGGCTGGCTGGCTGGCTGGCTGGCTGGACCGATGGAAAGAACCCAGATGAAGATTTGATTTGATTTCGCCAACGATGATCATTTATGTGTAATGCTTTGTCGCACAAACTCGAAGATGTACAGGCGAAAACTGACGAGTTGACAGAAGAGGTAGTACAGAGTGGAATTCCTGAGACTTCCTTCAGGTGGACGTAGAGTAGTTTGAGGTGATGAAGATACTCAACCGACAGAGCATCAACAACAAGCGCTAATCGCTATTAATGGGAGAAACCTAATGATGTAGTCTCTTTCACCTACCTTCCTACCTAGGCAGCATCGTTTCAAATATAGGCGTTGGCAGAGATGAGGATGTCAAAACCAGGATCGAAAAGGCAGTAAGACAGGCCTTCATTGACCTGAAATCAGTGTGGATATCTGCTGCACTGCACTCAGCATAAGGAACAAGATCCGGATTTTCAGCATTAATGTCAAGTAAGTCAGTGCTTCTATATGGTTGAGAGATTTGGTGCGTTAGGAATAGCATTTTCAACAAACTGCAAACATTCATCATCAGGTGCCTACGCTAACTCGATGCTGAAGATCAGATGGTCAGAATACTGGGAATAAGCATCAAGGAACTTTGGGAACGAACCAACCAAGAACCCATCACCCAATAAACTTGCAGAGGGAAGTGGAGATGAACTGGATTGGACATACACTGAGAAGACCGTTTGGGGACATCGCACTCTTAAGCAGGCCATCGAGTGGTACCCAATTGGCAAACGATGAGTTGGGCGTCCGAGGATGACATAGAGGAGATGGTGTGAGGAAGAAATGAAAGCTTCTGGGTAGATGTGGAGCCAGGTTAAGAAGAGTGCAGGGAAGAGAGTGAAAAGGTGACGTGCAAATGAAGACCTATGTTCCACTAGGAACCCAGAAGAGAAATAATTTAAAAAAATATAATCTAGTCGTCAGATTGGTGACAAGTCAGATAATCTGAGTATTAGTTTGTGTGCTCACTGTCCTTAAGGTATGTATAACCTTTTAAAGGGATAATAAGTTGTCCATGATGAATAATCAGTATCATGGGTGCTTCGAAGGTTCCACCAACTTCTATCGATGAAGCTACCGATTTGGTCAGTGCACCTGAAACCTCGTTTGAGAACTATTTACCAGTCGCCTTTCAACAACTAATTTGCGAAAGTGTATGAGAAAGGTGAACATTTAGTTATTCTTGATATGATCATCATCATTAGAACTTTTTTTTAAGCAGTTTCAGTACAACGGTTTATGTTCTAGACTTTCCCCTTGCACTAGCCTAAATCATGAACAGAAAGAGCTTTTGATTAAA